GCGCGGGGCTGGCTGACTCTCTCCCTCTGTCCCCAGGTCAGCGCCGCGGCGGCGGCCGGAGCCTTCCCGAAGCGTGTGAAGGTGGTGGAGGTGGGGCCGCGCGACGGGCTGCAGAACGAGAAGGTACGGGCGGGCCCGGGCTCCCCGCGGGGCTCCTGGGGGCCCTCGGCCTCCCGCCGCGTCTCCCTCAGCGCCTCACTGGGGGCTTTCTCTAGCCAAACGCCCGTTACGTGCCGTTGTGCCCCACCGACAGGGTTGTCGGTTTTTGTTTTTTGTTTTTTTTTTTTTAAATGCCGCTTTTTGATGTTGAAAGATGAGGGGGGGTTTTGCAGTGGTGGAAAAGTTTATTGTGAAAATAAGAACTTAAGGTCGCTTTTCTTTTCTTCTTCTTCTTCTCAGAATGTTGTGCCGACACCGGTGAAAATCAGTTTAATCAATATGCTGTCAGAGACGGGGCTTCAGGTTATAGAGGCCACCAGCTTTGTTTCCCCCAAATGGGTTCCTCAGGTCAGTGTTCAAACGGGATTTACAATTGTATGTTATAAAAATGCCTAATAATAGATTAGGCATTTCTATTGTAATCCTGTATTTCTATTCTGTAATCCAATGAAAAGATTCTGCTTGCTCCAAAATCCTTGTTACCGTGGCTTGTGACTGGGCAAGAAGCAGCAAGGCCAAATAAAAGCACTTGCAATATCCCAGGTCTTCCCTTTGGACCCTGCGAAAGAGCAAATGCGCAGCTCGGACACAAACAGCGGGTTGTGCCCATGCTGGCGCTGGCTTGGCTGGGTGACCGAACTATGATCCTTCCCAGGGGGCGATGCTCTTTGCTCTTCAGGGGCCCGTTTCTCTTATTCCTAAACATTCCCGTCCCAGTTCATAAAAATAAATTTAAAAAATTCATTTGTAATTTGCAGAAGTGGATGTTGTCACCCTTAGAAACCTTTCCTTGTTTACTTTGCAGATGGCTGACCATACTGAAGTCATGCAAGGAATTAATAAGTTGCCTGGTATTAGTTACCCTGTGCTGACCCCTAATCTGAAAGGATTTCAGGCAGCGGTAAGAGATGGCAGCGCCTGAGTGTTCACGGTGCCTCACGTGCAGGGTTGCCTGCGAAGGAACGTTTCAGCTGTGGTTACGGGTGGGAAACGCATCTTTCATTCCGGCAGGCAGCAGTCTCGTCTTGCAGTTCCTTTACAAGGGATCATTTTGCTGGGGAAATAGAAACCTGTTGTTCATAATAGAAAATACCTTGATATATTTCTATTATTAAAAAAAAAAAAAAATCGGTTTCAGTCGACAGTGATGCTTTCAGACTTACCTGCGTGTCCCACAGCTCTCCTGACTACATCCAGCAGATGTAGCTTTGCTGCTGTGTCTGTAACTTTACACTTCCTTTGAAGACAAACTTGGATGTGTCGTTGTGTTTTTGTTGTAGAACGAACTGAGGGAAGAATCGGGTTATTCGGGGAAGAATTGGGGGAAAAAGTATTTTTTTATAACGTGAGAGAACTGCAGTCATGGTTGTGCTTGTCATTTCCCTTGCAAGAGAAATCGGCTCGCTTTAATTTATGCTTTCTGTTGGCAGGTGGCAGCAGGGGCCAAAGAAGTGTCGATCTTCGGAGCAGCATCTGAGCTCTTCACTAAGAAGAACATCAACTGTTCCATAGAGGAGAGTCTGGAGAGATTCGATGAAGTGATGACCGCAGCGAGAGCGGCCAGCATTCCTGTCCGGGGGTGAGGAGTTCCTGCTGCGAACTGTGGGGAGATGTGACCGCTTGAATTTATCCCTTTGGAGTCCAGCCCGTGCAGCGCTGGGGAGTGGGATCTCTTTTAAACTTTACCTTCTTTTGGGGGAGTGTCTCTCTACCTGGATGGGTGCGAGCACATGTGAGCTCAGCGCATTGAGAAGCATTAATTTGGAAATGCCACCACCCTGACACGGTTTCAGATGCTGGCTTGGTGCGAAGCCTGTACCGCTCGTGACAGTTTACTTCAGCTTTACCAAATGATCCAAAATAATACTAGCCTCTTGGCAGCATTCCACGTTGAAGGGTGTAGATCAACAAGCCTAACGGTCTGGCGTACTCTTGGCAAATTTTTCGTATCCATGCAGGAAGTAATTGTTGAATAGTTCATTGTGTAAGCTTTGTCCACTGGACTGATTTTTAGAATATGAAATTAATTCTTCTGTTGTGTAGAGCACGCAAGGTGCTGCACAAGTCCTGACTAATTTGGCCAGTATAATCTCACTTCAGTTCTCTAGCTAAAAGTGTGTGGTTTTTTTTAACCGTAGATACGTTTCCTGTGTCCTTGGATGTCCCTATGAAGGGAAGATTTCTGCAGCTAAAGTTGCAGAGGTGAGTTCATCATAAATGTAAGCGGTTTCTGAGAGGTTTTTGGCTCCCTTTCATGGATGCGAATTGGGCACCGGGGGCTGGAGGATGTGTCAAACCATTTAACCGAAGGCTGAGGGAAGACTGGGGAAGGTTACAGCTAGCTGCCACCGCAGGGAGGGAAGGCTGGATCTAGCCGAAACGGATGGGGGAATTCAGGGAGAAGAGTCTCTTGACTGTTGTCCCCATGGCTGTTGTGCTCCAGGGAAGCATGCTCTGATCCCTCTGGACGGCGGGTCTCCAGCTCTGGGGAAGGGAATGACAAAGCTGCCTTTTCAGTAAGTGTCTTGGCTTTTGGACAGGTCTCGAAGAAGATGTACTCGATGGGATGCTACGAGATTTCCCTCGGTGACACCATTGGCATCGGGACCCCGGGGAGCATGAGAGAGATGCTGACAGCAGTCATGAAAGAGGTGCCGGTTGGGGCTCTTGCTGTTCACTGCCACGACACCTACGGGCAAGCTCTTGCCAACATCTTGGTAGCGCTTCAGGTAAGATTCTTGCTTTGCAGTATAGCATCCTTCCTCGAGTTTCTTCTGTGTTTGCTTGTGAACTGTCGATTTTAGGACCAGGACCGCAGTTTGTCCTTTAAGAGGAGTTTACCGATAGCGGGTTTGTTTTGCAGATGGGCGTGAGCGTGGTTGATGCTTCCGTCGCTGGCCTTGGAGGCTGCCCCTATGCCCAGGGAGCTTCGGGAAACGTTGCTACGGAGGACTTGGTGTACATGCTGAATGGCCTGGGCATCCACACGGTAAGCACGAGCAGCCTTTGCCTGCAGCAGCTCAGCCCCTCGCACGATGGCTCTGTTCAGGCTTCAGCGGGGGTCCAAAACTTGGCCCAGGGAGCCTGCGCGTAGCTGCAAGGGTTGCTCTGGCTGCAGGTCAGCCAGGCTGTGCCCTGAGGGCCTTGTCTTCCTATGCCAGTCCCACCCCTCCCTCCTCTCCCTTTTTCAGCACTCTGCGATTTAACCCTCGCTATCAGAGTCGCACTAGTGAGCAGCGGGCACTCAGGGCCTCGTTCGAGTACCCTTCAGGCTCCCTCGCCCCCAGCTAGTCGCTCCCAGCGATGCCGGTTGTTACGGGGCAGCTTTACGCGGCAGAACCGATGACCAACGCGTGTCGTATCTTTTTTTCCCCTGAAGGGTGTGGATCTGCAGAAGCTGATGGACACGGGCACGTTTATTTGCAACGCTCTCAACAGACGAACCAATTCCAAAGTGTCCCAGGCGTCTTGCAGACTGTGATACTGAAATCGAGTTTCTCCTTGGATCAAGAAGAAAGCAAGGATCCGGCGTTGGCCGGGTTGCCCTCCGTTCTGCTGCCTCTGATCTTCAGTGCTCCTTCCAGGCTCAGCGCTTGAGAGGAAACGCATAATCCACCAGAATCTGTGAAGAAATGAAAAAATTAAAAAAAAAAAAAAAGAGAGAACGCTGTATTCAGCCTTGAAGACGTTAGCCGTTTGCCTTAGAGAAGGGAGGACGCGGAGGGGCTGAGGGAGAAGCAGCGGACGCACCGCTTGCCTTCTCGCAGAGAGCCGCAGTCTGAGCACCAGCTCAGAACCCCGTCCGGTGACTTCTGCCTCGAGAGTCCGTTGCCGTAAACTACCAGCAAAGGATAAACCAGAGCTTTTCCAGGCAGAGCGCTTCTCCAGGCCAGGCTTGACCCTTCTTCCCTTCTCTCTCCTGGCTGCAAACGTTAAGACTGAAATCGAAAGGCTCCCCTTCGTCGTTCAAGTGTCAGGGGGCAGCCTTGGACCTCCTGCATTTAGGGACTGTAGCAAAGGACTGTATCTGTTGTAGGATACTTCTAAATACTAGGAGTAATAAACACATTATTTAATAGTCTAAACTATTAGAAATTTGGTTTAACTGAACCACTTAAGGAGCTCTTGCTGCTGGTTTGGTTCCAAGTGCCTCTTCTGCCAGCTCTCAATGTGGAAACGCTGCATCATCGTGGGCTTATTCTGTACGCACGTGTACCCCTCACGGTAGACAGGTCCGAGGGCGGTCTCCCCTTATCTCCTATTTAAAATAATTTATTTAATAGTTTGTTTGCGAGACTGGAGACAAGTGCAGGAACCTTGTCCTTCCGTGGGCTGGGCCTGGTTCCTAGCCGCGGTCGGTGCCTTTCTCTGACTGTCCCGGCGTGCTGGATGCGGGACCGGCCCTCCGGGTCTCTCCACGTCACTTAAATGAGCTGTAACAGTTAAATAAACCGTTAACGCTGAAACCAGCT